TTTAGCTATGATATAATAATGAAAATAATATTTTAAATTATAATAAAGTATTAGTCAAAATGAACATAAAGTGTAATTCCATACTTTATTGAAATTTATCAATTTAAAATTTTTATTTAATTTTAATATAATGATATATTTATTTTCTTATAATGAAATAATAAATAATAAAATATTATTCATATATAAAATAAAATAGTTTAATTTAAAATGAAAATGTAGTTATTTTTTTCTCAAAGCATAATGATTCGAATTTCTGAGTCAAATTCAAGTGTTGATCAGATTCATAGATAGATCAATTTGAAATGTGATTAGACTTATTAACCAAAGTTTGAGTTTAATCAAGTGGGGATTAGACTGGATTGATCATAAAAAGTGACCATTGACGTGGAGATGAAATAGAAGGATTAAAAGTGTAATTAACCTATTGAAAGAAATTAATGCTAGAATTCACCCAAAGTGTTGCTTGTTGGACTTGGGATATAGGGACATAAGGGTATGAGAGTGAGCTCCTCTTCTCTCCCTTTTTTTCTCCCCATAAAAAATAAAGAACTTTGGAATCAAAAGAGGGATGTTTTGCATTCAAATAAATCAAACAAGATTTAAGGAGGTAAGAATGATCATTTTCACTCCATAAGTTTTAAGGAAATGCTCACCATCATCTCAAAAGTTATTGTGAATCTACTTGGAGTCTTTGAGCTTTGGGAAGCTTCTTTAGACCATTTACACAGTAGTGTTCATATGTTCTACATTTGTAGCTTTACCTCCCTTCAATATGGTGTTTGATTAGAGTTTCATTGACACTTGTTTGATTTGTGTAAGTGGCGGGGGAGCCTTCAAGTGTTAAAAGGAGGTAAAAAGTGGGCAATGAAGGTTCTTTGGTGATTTTTAATAAGACAGCAAACTCTAAACTCCTATACGTTTCCTACATTTTATAAATTTAATGTTTTGCTTTATTGGTACGATGCATGTCGAGTATTTTGAGTGTTAAGCATGTTTATTGGTCAAATTGACGAATGTGTTGTTGACCATGTGTAAAAGTAATGTTAGATGACCCAACACTAGTCTCAAAAGCATCACAAATTGAGTAATACCTTCAATCGAGTGTTTGGAGGGGTGTTGAGAGTGATTTTTAAACTTGAAGTTGTCATTTTTTGAGTTTTAGTATCAATATTATTCTCATGGTATCGATACTCATTCATGAGGTATCGATGTTATATCTTCGATATTGATACTAAAATTTAAGTATCAATGTCAAGATTAAAGTTGTAAAATTTAAAATATATACATAAAATCATTTTTCTCGTGTCATAAAAGAAATTCATGGTACTTCTCACTTAAAAAATTGGAAATTATATCATTAATATGTATTAAAAAATGTTAACTTAAAATTAAATTTTTTATCAAATTGAAGTTTATACGAATATTCAAAAATTTGGATATCCGAATTTTTAAGATCGGATACGGATCACAAATTTTGTGGTTCGAAATTTTCGAATGTCCAAAATTTCAGATTGAAAAATATACGTATAAAAAAATGCACACCTCTATTTATGAGTTGGCTTAGATAGGATTTTGATCAATCATATATATGATATCGATATTATACATAGGCTTTGACTAATCCAAATCATGGACTTAAATTTTGTTAAGAGTCGTTCATATTTGTAAATAACTATTTTTTTTTTGTATTATCACCTACGGCAAAAACATATCTTCTAAAGTGTTCATTACAGGATGTAACTTCACCTACGTGGTGATATAGTTGTCCAAAGGTTGGGACATAATGGAAGAATGGGAAAAAAATATAAAACATTGTACGAATTTTATTCGAAAAGAAAAGTTATGTGTAGTATATGAAGAAGACATGTATGAGTACAAGTTAGGTTGAACGAAAATAACATGTATATACGGAATTTATATTTAATCATTCAATGAATTCATATTTTAAAATTTATATTTAAATATATAAAAAAATCAATATATAAATAGTGTAAGATGTAAGAATCTTATCAAAATTACTAATTTTGAAACTTAAATAAACTTATATTGAAAATAAATCATTTTTTTGTAAGCTGCTACTTGGGGATAAAAAAAAAGCAGATTACAGCTCAAAATGCTGGTACATTGATATTATTAGTTTGAGCAAAACCTGAAAAGAAAAAAAGTGGATTTGACCTCAATCTGGCCCACGCCTATTATTGTCTCATTCTTTATAAATAACCAATAAAAGAAAAAAAAAGTTTAATACAAAAATAAATATTTAAATTATATTTCTAGAAACATTTTAGTGTTTAATTTTTTTATTAAAAACAGGTGATTAATATTTTCAATTATATTTTTATGTGTTTATTGTTATATTTTTTAATTTTTAATAATAAAAATAAAAATTAGAAAAGCTTAATTTATTTAGAAAAACCTAAATTTACAATGAAATTATAAAAAAAACTCTAAAAAAATTAAAATTCTCATTTCAACTCTATTATCAATTGTTATCGGTTATCTATAGCCATCATTGTCGTCGTCGAAAGATTGAGTTTTGATCGAAATTGTATGGTGTTCGAGTGGTGGTGGTAGTGTAGCCTATGGATGTCAGAACCTGCCAAATTCGACGAAGAACAATAGAAGTGACTTAAAATCCAACGAATCTTTGAATACTTCTCCACGACAAATAGTGACAAATTACAATAAAATACTAACAGGGGTTTGATAGGAGGTCGACGCCGATGTTGATAACGGTGGTGGTGACAATCACAATTGGATGTCTGACTACTATGGAAGGAGGGAGGGAGAAGGAAGACGAGCCGTTGTTTGAGATTTTTTTTACATAAAAATATATTTTTATTTTTAAAAATTTTTTAAATAAATTCTCAAAAATATTAGAATGTGACAGGTGTCACTTAACAAAGATTTTTAACGGTTGTTAACGTTCGAACACCTAAAAATATAATGTAAAAAATATTATATACTTATTTTTAACAAAAAATTTTTTAGTCACTAAAATATTTTTTGATGTATAATTTAATAATTTATTTTTGTATTAAATAAAAATATATCTCAAATTGTCAAATTCAATACTCACCGTACCATACAACTGTTTCAGTTAATATTTTCTTCATTGCAGAGAATAGTTAAATAATTCAAGTTTAAATTTTAGATACAATATTATTAAGACAGATATAATATGAGCCGCTAAAGAATATATATATATATATATATATATATATATATATATATATATATATATATATATATATGGGTTTTAGTGATACAAAATTATTGGACTTAATGATTTAAAAATTTTGTCATGACATTTTTGGACCTGGAATGAACTTGGTATCCACATGCCATTTCTTGGGAACAAAAGTGACCTAAACCAAAAAGATTTGATAGATTTTTGTCCCACAACCCAACAATTTTCATTGATATTTCTTTAATCCCTTCCTAGTTTTAAAGTTCAGTTTCTCTGAAAAAAGAAAAATGAAAAGAAACCTACATTGGATGTCATCTCCATCCCAAGTAAAAAAACATGTGCATCTTATCCCATGCTATCTTATATTGTATTCAATTATTTTTTTAATCTATGAAAAATGAATTCAAAGTTTTATATCAGGGGTATGAATTTAACTAGTAATTTAACAATTTAAATATATAAAATTATACAATTTTAAAGACACAAAATTAGATCAACAATCGAAAATATAAAGACAATAATTAAATTATATGAAGATTTAAAATTTTTAAAGGTATGACCCAACCCTTAACATCTATTTAATCTATCCATGATTTATGATGCATAAAAAATAATAAATTTATATAGAATGTATATATAAAATTTACATCCGGATAACGTGATAGTCTATATCAATGGGGAGTATCTATTTCTAGAAGAATTTCAACACATTTTCTGTTTTACATTATCAATCCCTTCAAATTCCAAAACCATTGTATTTGTATCAATGGTGAACGTGCTATGAACTATCATTGCTACCGTTGTTTCATTACATGTGACATCACATGTTAAGTAGGGAATAAATAATCCCACTTGCATGCCCTCCACTTATGAGTTCTTAAATTGGACCTTCTCATGAGAGTCAGATGAGATCAGAGTCCAGCTGTAATGGCAGGCTTTTTCAAGCTTTTTGAATTTGATTTTATTATTATTATTAATCTAGGATAAGAACGCGATAATATATGTTTAAAGATAATTTAATCTTTTGATATTGAACATTCACATGTTAAGTATTATTTATTCATAGTTTTTTAATCATTGTTAGTGTAAACATAACTGATTGAATTTAGAACCTTAAGAAGAAAAAAAGGACTTTCCACCCAATTACTCAATGAGTTTTTTCCGACCAATTCTAAGGTTTTACCTTGATTAATTCGGATCAACCCGCCTCCCACCCCTGACTTTGGTGGGTGAGTCTCCTAACGGGTATTTTCTGGATACACAAGAACTCAAACCTGAGACCTTGCTTAACTATTATTTGGATCAAAATCAGAATTTCAAATTCTAAAAAGTATAGAAATTAAAAATAATGAATTTAGAATATAAGGACTAAAGCCATAATGTAGGGATAGTAGAAGGATTTTGAAAACAATTGCTTAACTTAGACTGTAATGCAAAACACATGCTCTAATTCATGTACAAGAATCCCATCCATGATCAATCATTATGCAGGTTCAATGACTACATCAAGTCACTTGTTTGAAACTTTTCAGCTCATAAAATTCCTTAAAGAGTCACTTATTTGAAGCTTTTCGGCTCACAAAATTCCCTATTTTATTTTTATTTGGATTTCTATTAAACATGAATAACTCGAATACGAATATAAATACAAATACGAATACGAATATAAATACGAATACGAATATAAATACGAATTCAATTATTAGATATATTCGTATCTAACACTTACACCCGAACGCGAATAAACATGAATCGTTCCACCATGTGAAACTCTATTTAAAGCGAGAGAGAGTTTGTGAGTGATGCATAAAAAGAGTGAGCATTCAGAAATGGCTTCCAAAGCTCAGTTATTTCTATTGGTTACCCTTCTGCTGCTTGCTACACAGGTTTCAACTAATGAGAGTGAAGAGAAGATTGAGGTTAGTTTTCCGATCAGACAATGCTCATATGAAAACTTATTCCTTGTGGCCCAAACTTCTTCAGCTTAATTTCTTTGGTTGCATATTCATTTGCAGATGAAATATGTTAAAGTACCTGAACCAGCAGCTCCAATCCCAGTGAAGCCACCCTCACCAACACCCCCAGCTCCTGCACCACCAGTCAAGGCACCAACTCCACCGTATAAACCTACAACTCCGGCACCTCCAACTACAACTCCTCCTCCCCCTTACAAACCACCAAGTCCACCACTTCCACCGGTTAAAACAAGGAAGGGTAAGAAATCATCCATGTTTGGCCCAATCTAAAACAGAAGCATCAGATTTTGTCTAAACATCACCGATGCAATTTTAATCGCAATTTACAATGACTATTTTTTTTTTTGGAATCTTAACCCATGTCACTGATAACTATATCACTATTATATTAATGAAAACTTTTATAAAATTCGTCATAATTATTTATATTTTTTTACAACACTTATTGACACAAAAAACTTAACAATGACAAGTATTTTATCACAATTACATATTTAAATTAAGAATCAATTTTTTTTTAATAATTTGAAGGTGATTACAAGGAATGTAGTATTTGTTTATAATATTTTTTAACAATTGATAACACATGCACACCATGCAATCTTTAGGAGAAGAGTGTAGCACCTAACCACTACACTAGGCAAGAAACTTTTATTATTATTTTTTCTACAAAAATAGCATTTAGGTTAAATCGTAATTTGAATTAATTTAATTTATTAGAATATATTAATTATAACATTTATTATTATTTAATTAATTTTATAATTTTTCATACACAATCCGTTTACGAAAGAAAACTATAAAATATAATTGGATAAGTTTTAAATATTATGACAAAATTACTCAACTTATCACTAAAAACCTTTATTGTTGTAGTACATGTCCATATTTATAAATGATTAGATCAAAATTGTACATGCAGATTGCATCCCTTTATGTGGAGAAAGGTGCAAATTACACTCAAGGACAAACCTATGCATGAGAGCTTGCATCACATGCTGCGATAGATGCAAATGTGTTCCACCGGGGACGTATGGGAACCGAGAGATGTGTGGGAAATGTTACACTGAGATGAAAACCCACAACAATAAGCCCAAGTGCCCTTGAAACACACACACACTCTTCTTGGGGTTTCCTATTTGGTTTCAAGCTTAAACAGCTTCAAGTAATAACTACTTAGAGAGTGGACAAAATTGATGATTTTTCTTGTAATGTGTTCTTAGAAGGTATTTGCATTATCGAATTGAAAGGTTGAATTAATATTTTCTTATAAGATATAACGGAAGTGTTTTTCGAGAAATTATAACATTTTAGATAATTTGATTTCATTAAATAATCTTTCTTTAATGTATCACATTGTAAGATAAAGTATAATTTAAGGGCTAAACACATATTTTTCTTCATATAAGTTCAAGTTCATGAAAAAAACATAGACTGAATATCTATAATTGGGTGAAAGGCACATACCCATGAGAATTGGTATAAAATAAACTTATCCCTTATAATTTAAAAATTACCCACCTACCCCCTTAAGGTTTATTTATTTGTATTATTTTCAATCATTTTTATTCAATTAAAATAAAAATTATAGTTAATTAAAAAATATTTTAACTATTACTAAATTGAATTATAGAATAATTATATTCTAATATAAGCATATGTTAATCATTTTTAAAAAAATATAAGTAATTTTATCTTTCAAAATATTATGGACAATACTTGTTTTTCTTTTTTAACAATAGATTGTGCAAATGCATATTAAAATACTTATGTTTAATTTAAATCAAATTTTATATATTACTCCTATGTCATACCCCAAAATTTTAGGATGAATTGAAAGTTTTATAAAATCTGGTGTCTAATTATTGATCTCCAAAAGTATAAGGATCAGAAGTGTAATTAACCCTTGAGTTAGGGTGTTTAAATACAATTTTTCTTCTTCTTTTCTTCACCCTCTTTTGCCCTACTTTTGTTTTGAGCGTCCTAAATCTCTTATATTTCCTCACTTATATAATTTGATTTCTCGCCATTTAATCACCGTTTAGGCCGTCGTGGGTCTCACCGTTGATATCACTTGATTGTCTCATCATTCTTGTTCGTCTAGTATTGATTTATCTATTGTTGTCATCGTTGGTGATTGAAAAGGAAAAATTATTTTGGGTTTTACGAAAAACTCGTATCCACTGCCAAACTAACATCAGTAAAGGATTTCTCATCTATTAAAATGTAAATCTAGAATTTTTTTTGGGTTTTCAGTCACTAGAGGGCACCGCATGCGTCACACACATTGTCATCGCGCGTGTGATAAAGTTTCCACTAGATCGGTCAAACCGATTTAAAGGGTTGAACTAATCTGATTGAACTGGATTTAAACCGATTTAACGTGAATCAAACCTGAACAACTGACTCAAACCATTCTAATAAAAATCGTTGATTGTTGACTATTAACTTTTGTTGTTGACTTTTTTTATTAATCCTTAACTTTATGTTTTTCGTCGTCATGAGTTCGTTTTTGCAATTTATTTGGTCAAATTCTAATAAAAAAAAGCCTATTTTGTGTATCACATTGCTTTATTTGTATCTATACTTGGTAAATTCTGGAATTAATTATCTTACTCTATGATATTACTTTCTAAAGGCAATCATGTGTCTCTGTACTATTCTTCAGCATATTCGAATCACCTTTATTTCTGTTTATTTTGACTATGCACATTTGACTCAAGATACACATCCTTATTCTATAGGACCTAGTACTACTAATGACCATGGGAAGTGCAAGACTTGGTTATTATCATCTGGTTTGAATAGGTGTGTTCCTTGATATGTACTGTATGTTTACTTTTTCATGTTGTGTTATATTTTTCTGTTGCATATTGTATCGACATATCTGATTCCTGATTAAGGCTATATTATTTATCATTATTGTTATTAGTTTAATATTAATATTTATTGTACTTAGGTGACACACTCAACCTTTAGCTCACTCTTTTAGTCTCTATTTTTTTCAGATTCCTATAGCCTTTAGGATTTTGACCTACACTTAAAAGATTAATTTGTTTACATGTTTCGTTAGATATTATATGAACATTTACCGACTTTGAATTCTTTATATATTTTTCAACCAGACTTGATTATTTTCATCTTTTGTATTTCATTTTCATTCACATCTTTGTATTGTGCATTTGTATTGCATTTATTTAATTTTTTTCTTACATTAATCATGAAAGTATTAAAATAACTCATTAATGGTTGCGTGATGGTGATCCTAATCACGTAATTTCTTATTTTTCTTACCCCAAAGGATACGATGATAATTTCACCTACAATGGTCTCCTAGGGGCATTCAAGACATATCACCAAAGTTTGGGAAGTACAGAAACGTGAGAATCAGAATTTGATTGAAGTAGATCCATGTGCATTTAATGAATAATGGGACAGATCCAGAAGAGGTCGATGCTCATCAGCCCTAAAGCTTTGTTGTAATTGTATTCAATCTTGTTTGAACGTAGTTTTCGATCCTTCTTCAGCCATTTACTTTAATGTTTTAATGCTACTTTATGAGATTACGAGGAATGATCAAATTTATTAAAAAAAACCATCCATTTCAAGTTGAGATTTGATCCCAAACATTCGAAGGGCCATTTCGACATTAATTTTGAAATATTTATAGAAAAACAATTAATATAATTATCATATAAAAATTTAATCAAAACTGTATAAAAACTTCAATTCGAAATGCTTTGAATAATTTAAAATTTAAGTCATAAGTTGAGGACGTCAAGTGCTACAAATCCTATATTAGTGTAAATTAAAATCCCAAAAAATTTGAGTGATGATTTTAAATGCAAAAATTCAAATTATTATTAAGAGTGTGATCGATTCATGAAGTATAAGATTATGATTGATGATAACATTTATTACATTTATGTTATCTTATTTGATTAATTTAATCTGAATTATGGTTGAGAAAATAATAAAATTATATTTTATTAATGTATACTAATAGCAAAATTTATCTTTTTTTTATAAAATTGATTCTTTAATATATTTAAAAAAAACTGAAATATTTTATCAAAAAAATATGAAGAAAATAAATAAACAAAATATATTCCCTCTTTCACCCAAAAATTAAAATGAGCAATTTAAAAAAATGTTAAAGAGATGAACAGGTTGGTCTTCTGCATGTGTCCCCGAGCTTCGTAATTGTGTTCACTTTTGATTACAATATTATCTTTCATTTTCTCCTGTAAAATTTTCTTATAATCATCCAACTTTCTCTCCCCAGTGAATTTGTTCATTGAAACACATCGAAAGCTTTAACAAAAGTAAACCTCACCCATTTTCTTTATTTTCTTAATAATATCTTTCAATACAACAAAGAATGTCTTAGGGAAAACGGGTTAACAGCTATGCCAAAATTTTTATTATTCGAACTGGGAAAACGGGTAACCGCTGTGTCGTGTTGGGAAAGAGAAAATTGGGATCTATAAGAGTCACTGAATTTGAAAACCCAGGAGAAGAGTCATCGTAATCAGAAAGGGAAGAAAATTGGGATCCCTAAGAGTCACTGGCATTTGAAAACCAAGGAGGAGAAGAGTTTGAAGAAGGGCTAAAAGCTAAGAAAACAGTGAAACAGACCAAGGCAAACAAGAAGAAACCAACCGTTCTTAAACTCTGTTTTGATGATACACATGTACTTTACGATTTCTACCATGGAAGGGGAAACCTTTAATCCTTTTTTTGGGTTTCTTTGTAGAACTCGGAAACAGAATGGAACTTTTGCAGATAAAGAAAGTGGGAGAGAAAATGGTGTTGGGATGAGGGAGGTAAAAATAAAGATGGGCATGAGACCCGAACATGACAAGTTCTTATTCGACATGATCTGATCGGGTCAGATTTTTTTAAAAAACAAATTCTAGTTCGAGTCGGGTCAGGTTGAGTTTTAAATTAAAATATTTGGGTTTGAATCGGAGTTAGATTTAGGGTTAAAAATATTCGATCCGACCCGAGTACATAATGTAATATTTTATTTATTTTTATATAAGTTTTTAGTTCCCCTTTGTAATCTTATCTCGTCGATTCTACATTCATGCTCAAGATTCTTACCCTAATTCCTTTTCTCACAAATTATTACCCATTTTCTGTTTCAGATTAAATTTTACAATTTTCAATTCATTCTCAAGTACCCATTAATCAATTTTTCTTCTAAAGTAAATACTCAGTAAAAAAAACCATAAAAAACCTCAATTTTTTTCACTTTCATCGGTTCTTCTTCTGGAGTCAATACACAATAATTGGCAACAAGCCAAAGTAGAAGCACTTCAATTTTTAGTAATCTATGTATTTTTTTTTCATGATTTTTGGCTCTGTTGATTTTGTATATGTAAAAATATGCTATCTATCGAACATATAATCCTGCATTCCTGCTCAAGATTCTTACCCTAATTCCTTTTTTCACAAGTTCTTACCCATTTCCTACTCTAGATTAAATTTTACAATTTTCAATTCATTCTCAAGTACCCAGTAATCGGTTATTCTTCTAGAGTCAATACCCAATAAAAAACCCATAAAAAACCTCAATCTTTTTCACACTTTCATCGGTTCTTCTTCTAAAGTCAATACCCAGTAATAGACAAAAAGCCAGCCAAAGCTTAAAAGTAGAAGAACTTTAATTTTTAGTAAGGTAAGTACTTATTTACATGATTTTTGGCTTTATTGATTTTGTATATGTAAAAATATGATATTTATCGAAAACATAATCCTTCATATATGCTCAAGATTCTTACCCTAGTTCTTTTTCTCACAAATTCTTACCAATTTCCTGCTCCAGCTTAAATTTTACAATTTTCAATTCATTCTCAAGTACCCAATAATTGATTCTTCTTTTAGAGTAAATACCCAGTAAAAAAACCATAAAAAAACCTCAATCTTTTTCATACTTTCATCTGTTCTTCTTCTAGAGTCAATATCCAGTAATCGACAACAAACCAACCAAAGTTTAAAAGTAGAAGAACTTCAATTTTTAGTAAGGTAAATACTTCTTTTCATGATTTTTGGTTTTGTTAATTTTGTATATGTAAAAATATGTTATTTATCGAACATATAAAGTACTATAGAGTTCGGAGGGCAATTTTTCATCTTATTTTCGTGCTTTTCTTTTGATTTAAAATTATAATACTTGTTTAGTTTACTAATTAAAGTTTAAAAGCATGAAGCCATCGATTAGTCTATTGTAACTTTTGTTCTTAAACTAACTAATTAGTTCTACCAAACTAATCAAAGAGTAAAGATTATA